AGCTTCGCAAGAGCGTTGCTGTAGCCAAGGGGGCGCGAGGACATCTCGCAGAGGCAGCCGGCGTGAATCCGGTGTTGAAGAGAAGCAGGTTGGGTACCCTAAACCCTAAACCCTAAACCCTAAATCTCTCTATCATAATGAATTTAAACCCTAATTCAAAAGTGGGCAAACCCTATAAAGCCTACTAGGACATGAAATGACACTCATCGGCTCACATCTCTGAGCCCCCCCCCCAGCTTGACGATCTTACTCCGAGTGTCCCTAAACCCTAAGCCCTAAACCCTAAACCCTAAAACCAAAACCCTAAGCCCTAAACCCTAAACCCTAAGCCCTAAAACCTAAACCCTAAACCCTAAACCTCTTCAGATCCGCCCCGGACTCCTTCAGACTGAGCGTGGCCACCACGACAAGCGTGCCCTCGCTGAGCATTAGGGTTTAGGGTTTAGGGTTTAGGGTTTAGGGTTCAAAGTGCTTCCTTCTAAGCTTACGGGCTGGGTAGTTGGACTTTAACTTGCTTGGTCATAAAGAATATTCCTAATACCAAAAAAGGTTAATCGCCCCTAGGTAAGGGTCGATGTACCAGATTGTATACTTGTGCGCTGTGTCCCTATGTTGACTGCTTCAGTGGGGTTGAGTGAGGTATGGAGATTAAAATGCGGTTTCTAGGGGACATTTAGCAAAAGAGCTTCTATCAGCTTCAAGGCCCCAGTCTTCCCTTTTTGACGGCCTGAACTAATTTTGTGATGGCAGTGATGCCACGAGAGCATTGCAGTTGTTCAGGCCTGACATTCACTGAGCGCCTGTGAGAGAGAGAGAGAGAGAGAGAGAGCGAGAGAGGGAGAGGGTGAGGGTGAGGGTTGAGGGTTTAGGGTTTAGAGTTTAGGAATGCAAGGTGGGAATTTGTTGTTGCTTTCGGCTTTCGAAGTGGTGGGGTTTAGGGCCGTGAGGCGTCAGCCTGCCAAGCCTTGCAAGAGCGTTGCTTTAGCCAAGGAGGCACGAGAACATCTCGCAGAGGAAGCCGGCGTGAGTCCACTGTTGAAGAGAAGCAGGTTGGGCGCCTTAACCCAGAGAGCCCTTGAATAAGGAGCATACCGTAAATTATAAAGGGGGTCCTTAGTATGATTTAATGTGTATGTCTCCTATTTTCAGAATATTGGGCTCATTGGGAAACCCTATCGTTGAACCTAGGCCGCACCCATATGCTCGGTAGGCCCTTGGGACATGTTTTACATTTTCCGTTCTTGGGGGTTTAAGAGGACGTGGCTTTCCCTGTGCCCCCAGTTGCTGCTATATGGATTTAAGCTTTTCTTTCAGTTTCGAGGCTGATGTTTAGGAATCTTTCTTAGAGGACTCTAAGGCCCATGCTAGTACAGGAAGGGCTTATCTGGGTTTGTGGGTTAGGGTTTAGGGTTTAGGGTTTAGGGTTTAGGGTGTTGGCTTGCTGTTTCTGTGCACATCTCTCAAGGGACTCCAAAGACGAACCCTGATGAGGGACCTAAGGGGTTATTGATTTGGGGGGTTATTTAGGGGCTACCTCGGTTTACTGAACACATGTGAAGTAGTTTCTGATCTGGTAAAGTCAGCTACCGAGGTATGGGGATGGTCCAGGGTTCAGGAAGTACATAGGAGGTTGCCCGAAACCCTCAACCCTCAACGCTAGACCCCCAAATATGGGTATGGGCGGTATAGGGCATGCTTAGGAGTTTTAGTACGGTTCACAGGGCAGAGTGCTTAACGCTCATAGGGCTTAGGACATTTCGGGTTCAGGTATTTGGGGGGTACCGTACCCTAAGCCCTACACCGTGGCGACGCCAAAAGCTTCCCTGGACCATATGAAGCAGTGTTCATATTTCTGTGTTTGGTGAGTGTACATAGGACTCCTTTTTCATCTTGGTGAGTGTATACATGGGTGACCTTTTGGGGGGTTCCAGAAATGAACCCTACTTCATATGAGCTAGAAAACGCTGGCCAACCCTTGTGTTCTCCGGGACCTGGCCGACCCGATTTCTGATAGACCTCCCTAAGCCCTACACCCTAAACCCTGAACCCCAAACCCCTAAACCCCAAACCCCAAACCCTAAACCCCAAGCCCTAAACCCTAAGCCCTAAACCCTAAACCCTCAGAACGCCTCCAGGTCCGGTGGCGCATCCTCCGATCGGGGGCCCCCTCTGCGACGGGAACGGTCACCGCACTGCAGTCTCCCGGGCAGCCTTGCAGGTACGTAGGGTTTAGGGTTTAGGGTTTAGGGTTTAGGGTTTAGGGTTTAGGGTTTAGGGTTTAGGGTTTAGGGTTTAGGGTTTAGGGTTTAGGGTTTAAGCTCCCAAAACCCTGCTGTATCTTGAGGCGAGATACTGAACAAGCCCTACGCTGGGGGTGATTATCAAAACCCTGGGGTTACCTCACTCACCCAGGATCAAGGGAACCTTACGGAGCCTTAGGGCCTAGTGGGGAGTATTCGGGCCTTTGAGAACCCTATGAGTTGTGGTGCGGCTCCAGTACGTTTTGTGTTGCTTCCCGTTTGCCTGGATGATCTGAGGGGCTGCCGAAGAAAATCGGGTGATACACCCTTTTTTAATGTTTTTGTTTTGTCTTTTTTGTTTGTTTGGGGGGGTGGAGGGGGTTGGGGTGGGGGCTTCTTTCACATAAGAAGGGCGAGAGTACTGTGGGGTCTGCAAGGGTTACCCCGAAGCTTGGGAAATGCAAGTCTTCAGACCCTTGCAAAAGTGTGCATTTGCCTATGGTTGCGAGCCCCTGGAGGCATGTCTTGATGAGAAAACCCTTTGGGTCCGATTTCCTGGTTCCTTATGGGTCAAACTTTGGGCGTCCTTTTTCTAGCAGCCCCTAAAATAGGATGATAGTACCCTAAACCCTAAACCCCACCTTCTTGTGATCCCTGTTAAGGACTGTTAGTATGAAGGGGGGGGGGCATGTTCTACACCCTTGAGACAGTTCCAGCCTCCTTCAGCCCTCCTGGCACCCTTCACCACAAGCCCTTCCCGTCCCGAAGCCCCTAAACCCTATAAACCCTATACCCTAAATCCTAAACCTAAACCCTAAACCCTGTTTTGTGAACCCTCAGGCCTGGAATGATCCTCTGCCTCCAAAAATACCCCACCCCCTACCATTTCGCTATGTGATGAAGAACATTGTGCCTACATATACCTATGTATATATATATATAGAGATATATGTGTATATATATATATAGATGTATTCGTGAGTTGTTTTATTTACATGATGTGCACATGTTTTGTAACAACAGGAAGAGCTGTTCATCATTGGGTGCCGGTTGTCAAACCTTATCAGGCGAAGGCACCCTAAGCCTTAAACCCGAAACCCTAAACCCTAAACCCTAAACCCTAAACCCTAGCAGGCCAGAAGATGCCGTTGAGCCCCACACTGCCGTGGTGGTGGTCCCAAGCCGCGACCGCTTCAGCTTAAATGTGTGGCATCGCATGACATCGACGCCTGTGCATGCTCTATTGCATCTCATAGGGTTTAGGGTTTTGGGTTTTGGGTTTCGGGTTTAGGGTTTAGGGTTTTCAGGTGGGCAGAAGCCAACTCAATAGGGTTCTTGGGGAAGTCATTCCAAAGTACTGGTGGACCCTGGACTCTCTGGGTCACTTCATACCAAGCTGCGTGATCTTAGAGCCCGATGTTGGGAGCATCTTTCTTCTTGCTCGGGATATGTTGGGTTTAGGGTTTAGGGTTTAGGGTTTAGTGTTTAGGGTTTAGGGTTTAGGGTTTAGGGTTTAGGGTTTAGGGTTTAGGGTTTAGGGTTTAGGGTTTAGGGTTCGGGGCTTGGGACATGTCCCGGTAGGTCTAGCACTCTGCGGTCTCCGGTGTGTGAACCAGTCCTTTGCCTTTCAAAGTGTCTAGAGGCCCTAAACCCTAAACCCTAAACCCTAAACCCTAAACCCTAAACCCTAAACCCTAAACCCTTACCTAACCTCGGAAGCCTAATTTGGAAGCTGAGTATCTTGATGTTTATGCGGCACTATTGACTCCCAAGCTACCGTAGCTTTTCCACAGCAACTGTTGGATTGAATGTATTGAACAATATGAGCAGTTCTCTCAATTGCGGTCCCCGTTTTGGGTCCTTGTTATAACGGTGCCGTACCAAACAAGAGCCCAAAAAGGTACCCTAAATTAGAGAATTACCCATACACTGAAATATGTGTACACATATGTGTATATATATATATGTATATGTATGTATATATATATATAGACACACGCACACACACACACACACACTTACACTTTTATTGTGCCGCCGCTGCCCGCTTCTCCACACTCGTTTTGTGGTCGCTCGTTTGACCGGGCACATGCCTAAAACGAAATGGAAGTGGAAAGCCATGCTGGGTTTAGGGTTTAGGGTTTAGGGTTTATAGGGTTTATAGGGTTTACAGGGTTTATAGGGTTTATAGGGTTAGGGTTTAGGGTTTAGGGTTTACCCGGTGCGCCAACAACACGGACTATCATTGTCGAGGCCGCCTTTGTTGCTTTGTACTGAGAGGTAGTTACACTCATTGAATAACTATCAGAATCAGGGTAGTCTCATGTGGTGCAACTAGGGCCAGTTATGCGCATCGAACTACGATATCAATGAAAACATGTCCGTCTCGAGTCACGAGCTCCGACGCTCAATTGGCCCATCGGTTGTCCAAAAGCTGTCCTTCAACGTCATTTAGATATCGGACCCCAGACATTCGAAACATGGGCTGGTACAGACCGGTACCAACCCGGTCAAGTTGCACCGGCCCATGTTTCCAAGATCCCTTTTTTGTACCGGTCTGTACCGGCTCAGGTTTTCGTTTAGCGGTCCAAGATTCCTGAGGGTTACGCATGTCAAAAGGGCACAAATCGGCACAAGTTGTACCGGCCCATGTTCCAAGATGCAGGACTCCTGACAGACCGCTGTTGAAAAGCCAACACACACACACACACACCTAACTAGGACGATGTCTACAGATGTCTCTCGTGCAGTGTGAACAGGATGAACCCCCTGACAGAGACAGAGACAGAAAGAGAGAGAGAGAGAGAGCAAGAGAGGAGCTTGCAAACGTTGCCCAGGATATTTGAGGCTTGGGTGGCGCCCAAAGTGCTGCAGATCAAAGGTAAGCTCCCTGAGAATATCAGCATCGCATATCACGTGCCGCCGTTGGAGCAGAGCAACGTGGAGAACGATGCCGGCCCCTTTCCATGGAAGTTGCTAGGTTCGGTGTCTGAGCAAGACGCTCAGACCTTGTTCAGCGATGAGGGTTAGGGGTTTAGGGTTTAGGGCTTAGGGCTTAGGGTTTAGGGTCTAGATTTCTCAACAACCAAGCCGCAAGACGCGAAACCCCGCGCGAGGGGAGGGGTTAAAGTTCCTAAACCCTAAACCCTAAACCCTAAACCCTAAACCCTAAACCCTAAACCCTAAACCCTAAACCCAAATATTGAACCCTTAACCCGTTAAGGCTTTTTTTGTTTTGTTTTGGGGGGGGGGGGGGGGGGGGGCATGATGCCGGGGCATGTGCAAGGATTGTGGCTTCGAACATTGGATCCAAGCCCCCGAGGCTGGCTGACATGTGAGTTTCGATGTGTGATTCTTAGCATGCTTGGGGTTTAGGGTTTAGGGTTTAGGGTTTAGGGTTTAGGGTTTAGGGTTTAACTGGTCAATTTGGTTTTAAGAGGTTTAACAAGTGTTTGAGAACGCTGAAAATAAGACAAGAAGTTGTCGCATGCAGAGAGTTGAACCTTAATTATTCCGCCGGCCCCTCCCCCCCCCCCCACCCACCCACCCACCCCCTGCCAGCCAAGCCCTTGGCCCTTCTCGGAACTCAAGGGGCCGGTCATTTCAGGGTTTAGTGTTTAGGGTTTAGAGGGCATGCCAAACGAATGCGAACTTTTTTAGGCGCGCATTGATTAGTCTGCAGACCTACGCACCCCAAGACGGCACACTTACAACTCTCATGATGCCTTCTTTTGTTTCTTCACACAGCATCCTGTAGTTATCCTTCTTGCGGCAAAAACATATTATGGCTTGCAGTTGCGCCATGAGGGACAGCTTGGGTCACTTAGAACACTTGGAGCACTTGGGCTGCAGTTACGCCGCCTGGGACTGAGGTCACTTGGGACATGGAACACCGGGGTTACATGGCAGTTTAGACGCTTGTGTGGACACTTGGGGACACTTCACTCACTCGGTGGATTACTTGGCTCACTTCCAGGGGTGTGCCGCAGGGGCCGAAAACAACTTGTGACGTGGGGGTCAGCAGCAAACTTGTGCGACCCCTGCTCTGAAGAAACGGCTCAAGGCCGTGCGACCGGAGATGCCAACCTTGCGCACACGCAGTGCGAGCACCAGGGAATGCCCACATGTAGACGACAGCAACCCGAGCAAAGCACGGAACCTAGAACAAATGCACCAGGGCGGTGGAACAGCCCCGCACGATAAGTGCCCACCAGGGCGGCGCATCACGAAACCTTACGCACCATGGGTTTACGGATTATGGGTTTAGGGTTTAGGGTCTATAGGGTTTAGGGCACGAGGGAACGTAGGCAGTATCGGTGCTCAAGGATGCGATGGCGCACCTGCTCGTGCCAACGAAGCACTTGCCAGAGGGCACGTTGGGGTCACCTAGGGCACTTGGGTCACACGGGTCACCCGGGTCACATGGGTCACTGACACTCAAGACACCTGCAACACTAGTGGCACTTGGGTCGCTCCCAGCACTTGGATGGTCACTTGGGACACTTGGACGACGTGGGGCCACTGGCAGGGGAACGAGTCTTTTGGTCACGTGGGACCTTGGTTCACCCTAAACCCTAAACCCTAAACCCTAAACCCTAAACCCTAAACCCTAAACCCTAAACCCTAAACCCTAAACCCTAAACCCTAAACCCTAAGCCGGCAATAAGCAAGTCGACTGGGGCTCCTGCGACTTCGGGCTTCGGGGTTTGGCATTGGGGATTTGGGCCAATTGGGGTTTAGGGTTTAGGGTTCAGGGTCAGGTATGCAGGCTGGCGCGCTGCAGATCCTAGCCGTTCCTAGCCGGAAGCTAAAACAAAAATGTAGCCCTGAAGACAGAGCCACAATCCCCAACCCTAAGTCGTAAACCCCAAGCCCTAAACCCTAAACCCTGCAGTGTGGTTGCGAGGCTGCTGGGCAGGTGGCAAAAACCCTAAACCCTAAACCCTAAACCCTAAGCCCTAAACCCTAAACCCTAAACCCTAAACCCTACACCTACCGAACGCAATTTTGGGAACACCATATCCCATATCCCCCCTATGCCAGGACGGCTTCCTCTGGGACTTGGCGTGGGACCTGCCCCTGAATTGCGTGCACTCCTCGAACCTGTGGCGAGACTTTCAGTCTGCCCTTTGGCCTAGAATAGGGTTTAGGGTATATATATATATATTTATTTATTTAGTTATTTATACTTGTGTTTGTTTTATATTTACATTTATATTTATATTTATATTCATATTTATATTTATAGTTTTATCTATAGTTATATTTCTAGTTATATTTATAGTTGTATTTAGATTTATTTATATATTTGTTTTTGATTTTTTTATGGGGTGTATAGGGTTTACGCAGGGTTTATAGGGTTTATGGGGCGTACATAGGGTTTATAGGGTTTACATGGGGTATAGAGGGTCTCCTCGAACCCGTGGCGGGACTTCCAGCTCTGCCCTTTGGCTTAGGGGCTCGCGGTTTAGTGGTTTAGGGTTTAGGGTTTAGGGTTGAAGGTGCAGGTTTTAAGGGTTTCTAGTTTAGCGCCCGATGAAGATCTAAAGCCCCTTAGGCCGAACGGCGAGCCTGAAAGCCCCTTAGGCTTTCTCGCCAGGATCTGCGAGGGTTTAGGGTTTAGGGTTTAGGGTTTAGGGTTTGGTGTGGTCTGGGAGGCCTTGTACGACAGTGTCGGCCTGGTCCCCGACCAGGACTCCGGCGGGCGAAGTGCCTGGGCTTTCTGGTAAATCAGTAGGGTGAACTACACCCCGAAACCCTAAATGCCTAAATGCTTAAACCTCAAAAGCCTAAACCCTAAACCACCCTAAACCCTAGCCCTAAACCCCAAACCCTAAACCCTAAACCCTAAACTCTCTTCAACTGAATCCTCCTCAGGCGTCTGCTATGTTGGTCGGCCGGGAGCCGACTCGGCACGCAGCTTGGCGCTGAGGGTTCGGGGGACCTTAGGGTTTAGGGTTAGGGTTTAGGGTTTAGGGTTTAGGGTTTAGGGTTTAGGGTTTAGGGTTTAGGGTTTAGGGTTTAGGGTATTTGGGGTCTAGGAGGTTCTTTTAGGGGATACTTAGGTAATAGGGACTTTGAGGAGGGACCCTTATCAGGGACCTAAGCAAGTCATATGAGTTTAGGGTCCGAAGGGGCTTACAGGATCTGTTCGTCATTATGCGTTAGAAGGAAGGAGGTTCATGGTACTTATGAAACAATCATAACTGTCCTTGTAACCCACTTCTAAGCACCTTAAGTGCCCTAATATGGTTATGAGTTCAGTTAGAAGTACAGTTATAGTTGGTGAGTAAGTACCGTGAACCTCCAAGCAGGGCCACGGGACAGATCGCGGAATCCGGGCTTGTGTCGATGCTGGGCTTGTAGGTCTTGTTTGTCAGGGTTTCGGGTTTGACGTCTTGCCTCTTTAAACCCTAAACCCTAAACCCTAAATCCTGATCTAAGTCTAGGCAAGTGTCTGACAATGGGCTTTTGTTCGGGGCTCGGCTCCTCGTAAATCCCATTAGGTAAGAAAAGCCGCTCTGTGTTTTGTTGGTTACCATACGGGTCGGAAGAAGTATTAGTAGTATTCCCCTAGGATCCCTTTATACTTATGCTATAGTAACCCCCAAAACCTTAAACTATAATTGTTTAAGGCCCCTATATTGCTTGAAACCAGGGGGTCCGTCCATGCGGTAGGCGCTCCTCCTCATCATCATCATCATCATCATCAGCATCATCATCAGCATCATCATCATCATCATCTTTCAACTGTTGTCGCACAGATCCCTTCAGCACCAAATCTCTGGAATCCCTAAACCTCAAACCCTAAACCTTAAACCTCAAACCCTAAACCCGAAACCCTAAACCTAAAGCCGAAACCCTAAACCCTAAACCCTCCTTGTGGAAAGCTTAGGGCAGCTGAGCGACAAGAGCTACAACGCATTGAAGGCAGCTGCACGAGCCGTCAAGCTGGATGGGGAGCCTTGGCTTAGGGCTTAGGACTTAGGGCTTAGGGCTTAGGGCTTAGGGCTTAGGGCTTAGGGCTCAGGGCCTAGGGCCTAGGGCCTAGGGCCTAGGGCCTAGGGGCTCAGGGCTCAGGGCTTAGGGCTTAGGGCCTAGGGTTTAGGGTTTAGGGTTTAAGGTTTAGGGTTCACGAGGCCTGTTGCAAAAAAAGGTTTAGGGTTTAGGGTTTAGGGTTTAGTGGGTTTAGGGTAAGCTAACGGGCTCTTGCCCTTGTAGGTACAATAAGCCACCCCATACATCCAAACAAACACAAACTTACTTTGAACAATAAAAGTATACATACACACATATATATTTATATTTATATTTATAGTTATAGTTGTGCGACCCTTTGATAGCAAGCATGCATATGTTTACGTACATATATTGGTACACATATACACAGAGATCTGCCTGGTTGTCTCAACCCCACCCACACAAACACGCACGCAAGCGGCACAAGGCGTCAACATCGACTACCACCAGTAGCATCCTACTAAACTTACTACACTCAAACACCATATGTGCCTTTTTTTGTGCGATTCGAGTTATTTTTGAAGTGCGACTCTTGCATACTGAATATGATGCGCATGCACTCAGACCCCACCCACAGATCGCGGAAAAAAAGGCGCCCCACACTGCCCAAGCCACACACCATCATAGTATCATGAATATATATTCCTCGATACAAGGCAATATTAGAGGTGATGAGCTTGTTTCTCAATTCTGATTTCGGGAATTCTGAAGCAAACGTAAGTTCTGAACTCGTGCTCGCGCAAAGGAGCCCTTGGCATTCCTGCCTTTGAACTTCGACGGATCGGTGCCGACCGCGCAGCAAGCAAAGCCGCTGGGACCAAGACTAGGTAGGCCCTTGTAGGGTTTAGGGTTTAGGGTTTAGGGTTTAGGGTTTAGGGTTTAGGGTTTAGGGTTTAGGGGTATTTTCACCTGTTGCTGCGATTGGGTTGTGAGAGGACCATGGTTCGAACTTTGTGTCGGAGGGTTCTAACGGCCATCCTAGAAGAGGAAAAAATCCTTGAGCTATCCTCGGACCCCTTCGAAGAGGAATATTTGCTTACTCAAGAGTGTGGAGTCTCTGGACAGAACACACTCGCAAAGCAAACCCACCCTATGGCCAATGTGATAATAGGGAGTACTTGGGCCTTAAAAAACACTTCCAAATATAGTGACTTTGGGGCCAAGCAGAACAATAATTCTGGTACAGTGGACCCCTATGGGGTTGCCCTAAACCCTAAACCCGAAACCCTAAACCCCTAAACCCCTAAACCCCTAAACCCCTAAACCCCTAAACCCCTAAACCCCTAGAACCCCTAAACCCTAAACCCTATTCTGCGAATCGAAGGACCGTCAGCCGCTGTGATGTCCTGATTGGCCTGCATGGCGCAGGAATGTCGCATTCCATTTGGATGTACCTCGCAGAAGTTTAGGGTTTGGGGTTTAGGGTTTAGGGTTTAGGGTTTAGGGTTTTGGGTGATTTTGCGTGCCTTGGGGGCCCAGAGGAAACCCAAAAAAGGGTTTATGGTTCAGGGTCTGTCAATTTCAGGGTTCATTTGGTCCCAAAAGTGTCGATCTTTCTTTGCTTATGGCTTCGCAGTTCAGACTCTTCGAGCAAACGTTGCCTTCTCTTCCCAGACCCTGGGAGAAAGCCCAACATTGCTTGATTATGGCATATGTGTTAAATCATAAGGGGATCCTTGATACAATGTAAGGTGGGCCACAGAGTCAAGGGACTAAAGGAGGGACGCTGGGAAGGAACCTGCGGGATTAGTTGTTATTTAGGGGCGACGTAGGTATAGGGGTTATAGTCCCCAAGCCCTAAACCCCACACCCCAAACCCTAAACCCTAAACCCTACACCCCAAAAAGACCTGGGGTCCCTTGTAGGGGTCCCTCCTACTAAGTCCTACTACCCCTTCACAGAGGTACCCCGGCAGTGTTGTGGTGGAGATCATGGACGATGAGCACTTAGGCGCCGCGTACTACCGAAACATCGCCCACTTGTCAGGACTTGGAAGGGTTTCCTCTTGCAAATCTACAGGCCTTGCGGCACGGGCCGGCCTGGCCGTCTGAAAGCTGAAACTCGGGTTTGGGCTTAGGGGTTGGAAAAAAATAAGAAGAAGAGAAAGAAGAAGGAGAAAAATAAGAAGAAAAAGAAGAAGAAAAGAAAGAACAAGAAGAAGAAGAAGAATAAGAAGAAGAAGAAGAGAAATAAGAAGAAAAGGAAGAAGAAAAGAAAGAACAAGAAGAATAAGAAGAGAAATAATAAGAAAAAGAAGAAGAAAAGAAAGAAGCAGAAAAAGAAGAAGAAGAAGACGAAGAATAAGAGAAATACGAAGAAACAGAAGTAGAAGAAAAGAAAGAATAATAAATAGAAAAAGAAGAAAAGAAGAGAAATAACAATAACAAGAAGAAACGGTAAAGGAAGAAAAAGAAGAAGAGAAAGAAGAAGAATAATAAACAAAAGAATAATATCACAAAGAAGAAGAAAAATATTAAGAAACGAAAAGAAAGAACAATAACAAGACGATGGGGTAAAGGAAGAAAAAGAAGAAGAGACATAATTATAATGAAAAAAAAGAAGAATAAACCGAAGAAGAAGAATACTTTAGATAATAATGAAAAGAATAAGAAAAGAAGAACAATACTAATAAAACAAAAAAGAAGAAGCAGAAGAATAGTACAAGAAAGAACAAGAAAAAGAATAAGAATAAACGAAAAGAAAGAAGAATAACAAGAGGAAGAAAAATAGGAATAATAAGGAGAAGAGAAAGAAGAATAATCAAAATAATAAACAAAAAGAAGAAGACAAGTGAGAAAAAGAAAAAGAACAAACATTGGAAGCAGAAGAGAATAAAGAACAGGAAGCGACAGCCGAAACCCTATATATAATCCTCTGCGCGCGCGTGCTCATTGGCATCAGCGGCTTGGGGGTTCCCTGCCCCCCCCCCCCCCCACCCCTCCCCCCACCCCCCGCCCCCCCCTCCCCCACCCCCACCCCCCCCCCCCTCCCACCACACCTCCCGCCGTACCCCCCACCGCCCCCCCCCCCCCCCCCCTCCCACCCACGCGAGCATCATCAGCGATCAGCGGCTGGGCCTGCATGCGAACAGGTGGCTAGACCCTTTTTTGGATGCCTTGCGCCCACTCCCACCCTTTCAGGGCTTCGGGGAGCCGTCCTTGGAGCAGCGCCAACCCACGCGACGTGAACGCAGCTGGCGCTGCGTGCATACACGGCAGCCACATAACGAGGAGTTTTTGAGCAGTTTTTCGCGCAACACGCAAAACACGGTTACCACGTTTTCGGCCCCTCGGACCCCCCCCCCCCCCAAAGCGAGCATCATGAGCCCTCATGAGCATCAGCGAGGCTTCGGAGCCGGGACTCGAGGGCCCCGGAGAAATGAAGGGCTCATGATGCTCACCCGTGATAGCAGGGTCGATGATGCGCGCCGGGTCACGCATCATGAGCCCTCCAGGGTGTTTGGCGGCAAAAACACATGGTATTTACGATGTTTTCGGCACTTCCACGCAGCGCGTTTGGGACCCCGCTCGGAGCCCTCCCAGAGCCCCCCCCGGAGCCTCATGCAAGGAGACATGCCATTTTCAGGGCGGGTCGGCGGCACTGGCGGCGCCCGCATAAAGGCAAGCCTTTAGGCTAGCCGTGCTCCGCACTGGACCACGACGGCCAGGCCGGATTTAGGAGCCTCCGGCTCAGGCCGCCGACCCAAGAGGCCCGAAACCTCTCAACCCTCAAACCAGGGTTCGGGGGTTTGGGATGGGGGGGTAGAGGCTTCGAACTGTTGGAGTGGTCGGCGTAAGGTTGCAACCCAGGCAACCGCCCCCGTGAAACCTCAACCCAAGTCCCTAAATCCCAAACCCCTAACCCTAAACCCCACAACTTTTGGGGCAGGTTTGGTTGGGCTGTAGGGTATAGGTTTGGGGTTTAGGGTTTAGGAAACGACAAGCCCTGCTTTGGGGTGTCACGAGCCTCCTTAACTGGGCTCACATTGTTATTCAGGGGCCGCGCCGGTCGGTCTGGGGGGCGGGCTGGTGTAGGGTGGGGGGGGGCTGCGGGGGGTTTTGGGGGGGGGGGTGCGGGGAAAAAAGGGGGGGAGGCCGCCGGGGTCGGCGGACCCTAATTTAGGGATTTGGGGTTTAGGGCGTTTAGGGTTGAGGATATAGGGTTTAGGGTTTAGGGGTTAGGGTTTAGGGTTTAGGGACTGTGAACCCTTTAGTTCATGTTCTGGGTTTGGGGTGCCTGCCCTTGCGAAGGACATGTGTATTTCAAGCACGACAAGCGCGAGCTTGAAGGGAGGCCACAGCTTTTCAAGCAGCTTATGATCACTGCAGCTGCTCACTTCGCCTTCAGTTGAACTTTAAGCTTTTTGGGTTTCCTTATGTAGTAGGAATGTTTAAGTTGTTCACCTTTGTCCCCTTGGTTGTTGGAGAAGTAAGGCTGAGATCATCTCCAACAAGGCGACGTACTCACGCAAGGTGAGTTCCGAGTTGCCGGCTCTGCTGGCTAAGGCCAAGACCTCACAACAGCAGCACAAATCCCACTCATGAGGCTGTGAGAGGCTTTTCAGCTTCATGTGCGAGATAGGTAGAAGAAATTCTTTCTCAACAGGTTCAGAGAAGCTTTTAAAAAGCTCAGAGAAGCATTGGGCCTAAGTGCCCCTGCTGGTACTTCCTAGCTGCGCCCCCTGGGTTACACACACCCAGAAGTTGGGGAGGGTGCAATGCACTGGACGGCAGCTTCCTGATGTGCGCAAGTGCTTTCATTCGCCACACACCCACGTACTGAATAGTTGCCCGTCTTGACCTGCTGGCCCAAAGTCCCTAAAGTCGTAGGTCCGGTGTTGGGTTGAGGGTTTAGGGTTAGGGTTTAGGGTTTAGGGTTTAGGGTTTAGGGTTTAGGGTTTAGGGTTTAGGGTTTAGGGTTTAGGGCGTTACTCTTGCGAATTCGGCGAAGTCGGTGGCACTGCGCTTTATCCTTCTGGCGAAGCCGACCGGTGAATAGAGGATGCACCAGGGTTTTTTGAAGGGTTTTAGTGCTTAGGGCCCTAGCCCCGGCCTCAACCCTCAACGCAAATAAACGGGCTTGAGGGTCCTCAGGCCCTCAAAAACCCTAAGCCCTCAACCCTAAACCCTAAAACCCTAAATGCTGGGTCTGCAACTTCGAATCTAGCTTGCCTCGTGGGTACCGCGGGTACAGTGGGTATCGTATATCAGGAAACAGTTCCCGAACCTACCTACCACCCAACTGCAGATGCGTGAAGCCGGGTTTACAAGTTTGGGCTCTAAGCCCTAAACCCCTAACCCCTAAACCCTAAACCCTAAACCCCAAACCCCAAACCCTAAACCCTAAACCCTAAACCCTAAACCCTAAACCCTAAAGGCGGCGGAGGGTCTAGGCGGCCCTCTTCCCTACGAGGTCTCCAAAAAGAACATGGACATCCAGCTTGCGTCCTTGCAGACTCTCAGCCGGTTTTGCTTGGGGTTTAGGGTTGAGGGTTTATAGAACTTGTATAGGGTTTTGTGTCCGGAGTTTCGGAGTTTTGTCGGGGATTGCTCTTTTTTCCTTGGGGGGGGGGGGGGGGGGGGAGGTTTCTCTTTGCTTTTATGTAGCCCATCGAAATTGCAAGCTCTGAGAACTTGACGGATTCTTGGGGCACATGCTCACTGAATCACATGCAATTTCTATTTATCCAGGCCATGAGGGTCTAGGCTTTAGGGTTCAGGGTTCAGGAAAAAAGGGTTTAGGGTTGAGGGTTCAGGTTTAGGTGTGTGGTTCTCTTAACAGGGATCTCTTCTATAGGGGTTCTTTTCGGTGCCGTACTACAAGGGGACCCCAACAAGGAACTCCAATTTAGAGAACTACCCATATATGGAGGGCAGCCATGCCCGCTGTTCAAAAGGGTTTAGTACAATAGGGTTTAGGGTATAGGGTTTAGGGTCTGGGGTTTAGGGATTAGGGTTTGGGGTTTAGGGGTTGTGAGGGGGGGCCTTGTTACGATGTGGGAGGGGGAAGTGGAAGAAACGACGAAACCGCGCTCTGCAGGCTCGTTGCCCTCTACATCCAACCCGGACATGCCCCTAAACCCTAAACCCTAAACCCTAAACCCTGAACCCTGAACCCTGAACCCTAAACCTAAACCGCCCAGGGCTGCTGTCAACAAGGCTGCCTCCGAGGCAGCCATGCGCCTCGCTGCAATGCGGGCGCCAGAGCGCGAGAGGGCTCCGGGTTTAGGGTGTAGGGTGTAGGGTTTAGGGTTTAGGGTTTAGGGTTTAGGACTCCGGGTTTAGGGTTTTGGGTTTAGGGTTTAGGGCTTAGGGTTTAGGGTTTAGGAAATATGAATGTGCCAGCCCCTGCATCGACCGCAATGCACCCAAACAAGTCGTGACCCTAAACCCCAAACCCTAAACCCCAAACCCTAAACCCTAAACCCTAAACCCTGAACCCCACACCCTTCGAACTTCGAACCTTGGGTTTGCGATTGTTTCGCGTCATCGGGCTGAGGGGGATCCTGTTGAGGAATTTTTTCAGGGCTGTAGCAGCCAACCTAGCCAGCACATCTTATAACATGTGCTCCACTGCGGTTTGCTACAGGGTGCCGTTGATGTCAGTTTGGCCTCCTGTTTGCGCCATGGCGCCTCTTGCGGTTAAGGGCTTAGCAGCAGCTTTTATCAAGGGATTGAGACTCATACCCCTAAGGTTGTACCGTTAAACGTTTCCCTGTATACTCCTAGTATGGCCCTTAGAGGGTCCAAGGCACAGCCCCTAGATTGCAAAAGCATCTCCAACTCTTCGATTGCCGATAGGTTCCCTGCAGGTGACCCTAAACCCTAAACCCTAAACCCTAAACCCTAAACCCTAAACCCTAAACCCTAAACCCGGGCAAAAAAGAAAGAAGGCCTCTGCCCGAGAACCTCGAAGTCTGGGATGCCCCCCCCCCCCTACTATACTAACAGCCCTTCATAGGGATTTTAGTACCCCTATACTAGCAGCCCTTAACGGGGATTATACTACCCCTATACTAACAGCCCTTCGTAGGGATTTTAGTACCCCTATACTAGCAGCCCTTAACGGGCATTATAGTACCCCTATACTAACAGCCCTTCATAGGGATTTTAGTACCCCTATACTAGCAGCCCTTAACGGGGATTATAGTACCCCTATACTAACAGCCCTTCGTAGGGATTCTAGTACTACCCCTATACTAGCAGCCCTTAACGGGGATTATAGTACCCCTATACTAACAGCCCTTCATAGGGATTTTAGTACCCCTATACTAGCAGCCCTTAACGGGGATTATAGTACCCCTATACTAACAGCCCTTCGTAGGGATTTTAGTACCCCATACTAGCAGCCCTTAACGGGGATTATAGTACCCCTATACTAACAGCCCTTCATAGGGATTTTAGTACCCTTATACTAGCAGCCCTTAACGGGGATTATCGTACCCCTATACTAACAGCCCTTCGTAGGGATTTTAGTACCCCTATACTAGCAGCCCTTAACGGGGATTATAGTACCCCTATACTAACAGCCCTTCATAGGGATTTTAGTACCCCTATACTAGCAGCCCTTAACGGGGATTATAGTACCCCTATACTAACAGCCCTTAATAGGGATTATATACTCTGTGGTACTTTACTGTAACTTTAGATCCTTAGCCTTTTTGGGTTCATTGGGTTTCTGAATAAGGCAACCAAAAACTTCATTTATAACTACCCTGCTAAGTGCAGCCAAGTATAGTACCCCTACTAAAGTTCCTATTAAGGACTGTTCGTAGAAGGGGAACATATGTTTAGAAAGGACAGCTTAGCTGACAGCCTCCTGGCGTCTGAGTCTAAACCCCACAACCCTACTACCAGAAAACCAAACCCTGAACCCCGAATTCTAGGGTTTAGGCTTTAGGGTTTAGGGTTTAGGGTTCACCCTTGGGGCGTTTCACATTTTCTGTTACTGGGTGTAAGGGGGTCTTATTTAGGAATATGTTTTTCAGAGAGTTGTAAGGGCCACACACGGGACCTTTGTAGAAACCCTAAACCCCTACACCCCCACACTCCCTAAAACCCTTAACCCCTAAACCCTGCACCCTTAAACCCTAAACCCTAAACCCTAGCCCTAAACCCTAAACCCCCAAGAACCCCTGACCTCCTAAAACCCGAAGGTTCCCAGAGCCCTGAAGCCCGAAGTCAGTTAACAAAAGCGAGTTGCTAGGGTTTAGGGTTTGGGGTTTAGGGTTTAGGTTCAGGGTTTAGGGTTTAGGGTTTAGGGTTTCGGGTTTAGGGTTTAAATCTTAAACACAAAATCCTTCTACACTTTGTAAGCCCCCAGGGCATAGGCGGAGTCCTGAGGTTCTTGGACCGCGCCCGCACGGAGCTACAGCCCCTGGTCTCTTTTCATGTTGTGTAGGGAGTAGGATTTAGGGTTTAGGGTTTAGGGTTTAGGGTTTAGGGTTTAGGGTTTAGGGTTTAGGGTTTCAAGCCAACCCTAAGCCCCAAACCCCCTGAAACCTGCAGGGGTTGGAACAAAAGCATCCCAAAACACGCACATTAGAACCACTTTAAGGAAGAGAATGGGGTCTCAAGCTCCGCAATGCCAGAAAGCCACCCTAAACCCTAAACCCTAAAACGCTAACCCCTAAAATCCTAAAAAGCAACCAGGTTTGGGTTTATTAGGGACATGCTCAATGGTCTTTGGACTCCGCCGGCATCTCAAGGTGCCAATATGTTCGCCTTCCCTCACACCTACTTAGGGGGTTTAGGGTTTAGGGTTCAGGATTCGCCCCTGGAAGGGGATGTTCAGCTCTCTGGTTTTGGCATTGACGCCGCGAGGGCAAGGTACCTACATTGGGACATGGGGGCGGGAACCCCTTATATGTGCTGCGTACATAGGGTATTCCGGTCAGCGCAATGTTCAAGGTCAAGACCCTGGAAAGGAATCCAAGAGCATTGAAAGGGACTCCAAGGTTTCGACACACCACGCTTGACGGCCCCCTTAGAAGGGTATTGCTAGGGTTTCGGCTGTGAGAGGGTTCAGGGTTAGGTCGAATCACTGGGAGCTTGCCTGCGATTCATTGCCAGCTGATCATCACCCTCTACACGATCTGCAGGTGTTGTAAGATGCACGTTCCAGAATGGGATAACTGTAAACCCTAAACCCGAACCCTAAACCCGAAACCCTAAACCCCAAACCCTAAACCCTAACCCCCAAACCCTAAACCCTAGCCCTAAACCCCAAACCCCAAACCCTAAACCCCAGACCCTAAACCTCACAAACTCCCCAAGAGCCCGAAGCTTGAGGGCACTCTCGGAAGACATCGCAGACTTCACCGCCCAGCACAACCACCTCAGGAAAGGATTCAGGGTTTAGGGTTTAGGGTTTAGGGCTAGGGTTTAGGGTTTAGGGTTTAGGGTTTTGGGTCTAGGGTTTAGGGCTTTACGGCTTTAGGGGACAAATGCTACGGTCTGAGAGTGTTGCTGAGTCTTTCCGGCCAGGACATCATCGCCCGGATGCAAAAGCGGGTTCAGGGTTTAGGGTTTAGGGTTTAGGGTTCAGAAGGTCGTCTTCGGGTTCAGAACTTTGGAACCCTAGGTTCTTTGGTTTGGACTGGTTGCAGCCGGAACCCCAAGCCCCTAAACCCGGTGGCCTCACCTGAGGCCGCCAAATACTTGGAGGTTCATGGTACTTATTGACCAATTATTACTGTACTCAGAACTGTACTTATAGCCACCTAAACCCTAAACCCTAAACCCTAAACCCTAAACCCTGGGCTTATGAGTAGCTTATAAGTGCAGTGATAGTTGGTTGCTGAGTACCATGAACCTCCAAGTAGAGCAGCTCGCCAGCTGGCCGTAGCTCTGTTGATTCTTTGAACTTGGTAAGTAGGGTTTAGGGTTCAGGGTTCAGGGTTCAGTGAACCCGAGGCCTGCTGTAACAAAAGGGTTTAGGGTTTGGGTTTAGAGTTCAGGGTTAGTAAGGTGAGTTCTGGAGATGATACTTGAGTTTTCTACTTGTAGGTTCATGGTACTTATTAGCCACTTATAACTGTACTTGTAACTGTACTCATATCCACATTAGGGCACTTAAGGGACGGGGCTCATAAGTGGGTTATAAGTACAGTTATACTTGGTGAAAAAATGCCCACCATGCCTTGCACCCTAAAACCTCCATTGTTTTTCTTTCTTTTTTTTTTTTTTTTGGGGGGGGGGGGGGGGGGGGCTCGCAATGAGAAGCAAACGGAGAGGATGAGGTCGCCCCAGACCGGCAGAACGGCCTACAGACGCTGCATGTCAAGTCAGATTTGTCGAGCTTTGAATTTATCTTGGTTGGGAGGTTCCCCCCCTATACTACAGTCCTTAATAGGGAATATAATACGGGGCACGATAATCCCTATGGAACATCCCAAGACCGGGGCTTCCTTTTGAGTGAGACGCAAGGCTAAGCCTCTTCCATTTCTTCCCCGGTGTCCGTCGCAAGCCCTAAACCCTAAACCCCAAACCCCAAACCCCAAACCCCAAACCCTAAACCCCAAACCCCAAACCCCAAACCCCAAACCCTAAACCCTAAACCCTAAACCCTGAACCTCGAGTTAGAGACAGGAAAGCCGACGTCGACTACCAAATGGACCTTTCTGACCAGCAGCGGCGATCCTCCACGGCAGCTTCATGCCCTCGGAGGGCTTGCAGAGGGTTTGGGGTTTAGGGTTTAGGGTTTAGGGTTTAGGGTTTAACCCAAACCTCATATGGTTTTTGGCGGCTGGCGTTTCGCACCATATAAGGAGCGGGTTGGCCAGTCGTGCTTCTTTGCCGGGCATTTGGGGTTTAGGAGGCCAAAGCTGCCGAAGAAAGGCTCTTTCTTCGGGTGGAAGGCAGAGCCCCTAAACACCCTAAGCACCCTATAAGAAGCCCCTGTGGGTGCCCTAAACTCCACAACCTCACCCTAAGCCTGCAGGGTTGTTTCACGAAACCCTAAACCCGAAACCCTACAAGGTTTAGGACACCCCCCCCCCCCCCCCTTGCTCCGAAAGGACACGACGCTCCAAACCCTAAACCCTAAACCTACTTGCCCTAAACCCTAAACCCCAAACCCCAAACCCTAAACCCTAAACCCTAAACCTACTTGCCCTAAAGCCTAAACCTACTTGCTCTAAACCCTAAACCCTATAAAGGAAACGACGGTCTGGCCGACCAGCTGGAGAAGTTGACTGCTCGCCGATGCGTGGCTGCAAGATGTGGTGCTGGGTTTAGGGTTTAGGGTTTAGGGTTTAGGGTTTAGGGTTTAGGGATTAGGGATTTAGGGTCTAGGGTTTAGGGTTTAGGGTTTCGGGTTTAGGGATTAGGGATTTAGGGTTTAGGGTTTAGGGTTTAGGGTTTAGGGGTTTAGGGTTTAGGGGTTTAGGGGTTTTGGGTTTAGGGGTTTAGGGTTTAGGGTTTAGGGATTTCAGAGGTTATGGTTCTGGGATTATACCTTGGCAGCCCCTCGAAGGGATTGTTTGGATATCCACAGATTCTCTGCATATTGCCATAGATGTCTATAAAGTTCAGATTTTCGGGTTTCAGGATTTAGGGTTTAGGGTTTAGGGCTTCAGGGTTTAGGGCTGCAGGGCGCTAGGGCTAGTTTACCATAGTTTGTTAGGGTTTCGGGTTTAGGGTTCTGGGTTTAGGGTTTCGGGTTCTGGGTTTAGGCGCTACCCAAAAGCCATTGCACAAAGCGTTTAGGGTTCAGGGCTTTGCACTTTTACGGAGCCTGTGTGGCACTTAGGGCCTCTCCCCCGCCCTGCCTGCAGATAGTAGGTAATTACGTCTGGGAAACCGAGACTACCCAAGGCCTGCACTGCCGCCCCCCCCCCCCCCCCCCCCCCCCCCCCCCCCACCCCCAAATACCCTAACTTTCTAAAACCCCCTACACCTAAACCCCAAACCCTAAACCCCAAACCCCTAAACCCCTAAACCCTAAACCCCAAACCCCTAAACCCCAAACCCCTAAACCCCAAACCCCAAACCCCAAACCCTAAACCCTAACCCCTAAACCCTAAACGCTAAACCCTAAACCCAGGGCGCCTCGCAGAGACCAGATTGCAGGCGGACATGGACAGCGGCCCGGCTGCAATTGAACAAGGGGCCAGATTCGGGTTTAGGGTTTAGGGTTTAGGGTTTAGGGTTTAGGGTTTAGGGTTTAGGGTTTAGGCTTTAGGTTTGGTAGCCCAGTGGTACGCTTTTGCCCTTTTCTGGGGCTTCTAGGTTTCCCATATCAAGTTACCAACTCCAAAAAGGGTACCCTTATTTGAAGATGGTTACTGGGCTACCAAGCAAGGCACCCCCAAAGTTGAAGTATTTTGGGACGTTTCTAGGGTATAGAAGGTTCTGCAGTTCTCGAGTCCAGGGTTCTGCAGGGTTGGAGTTTCTAGGGTTTGTGGTGTTCCGGGACGAAATCCATCTGGTTGGCTTCCGTGTGCTCGTTCCTTGGTTTTTGTTGAACCTTAGGTCCCTCTACCCAGAGAGCCCAATGCCCAATACCCCTCAATACAGGAATATACCTTAAACTGTAAAAAGATCCTTGGTATGATTTCAGGGATGTTCCCTATCTAAGGGGCATTCATTGGGCTTTTTGGGTACCCGGACCTCCGAACCGATACAGCGGGAAAGCCTACTTCTAAACCCTAAACCCTAAACCCTAGACCCTAAACCGCCTACTCTAGTGACTGTCGAGGCCATAGTATTTTGAACAGGTTTTTGGGGGTATATTGGAGCATAATTATAACTTTGCCATAGCGGGGTAGCATTTTACATGTTTAAAGGTACTTAAACTCTAAGGAAGAGAAATTTCACTTTTTGGTACTATCATGACCATGAACTAGATCAGGGGGCCACAAGGGAATACTCCCTTGTTGCCTGTCGGGCTCTCGAAGCACTTAAACTCCCGAACCCCCCAAAACCCTGCACCCTCGCTCAACCCTCCACGGTGAGAACCTTTTAGTGTTTAAGTTTAGGGCTTAGGGTTTAGGGGTTAAGGGGTTAAGGGTTTAGGGTTTAGGGTTTAGGGCATGTGCCTCAGTGGTGATGATTGAGAGCTCAGATCTGGCTAGCCCACAAGCCCAGTTGCAAAAAAAGGGTTTAGGGTTTAGGGTTTGGGTGGTCTGACGCGTCTCGCAGTTGAAACCCTAAAGCCTAAACCCGGGAGCGAACCAAACAAAGCCTGAACCCTAAACCCCGAACCCCCCAAACCCTTCACACCCCAAAGCCTCCAAGCCCTAACAGCACCCTAAATCCTATAGGGCTTAGGGTTACACACTAAAAGGCTCTCAACGTCCTAACAGCAAGGCCTGCGAACCGAGAACACGGTCCTAAAGCGGTCGGTTGGCGCCCTTTCCAAGCTCTACGAGGAAGTCAGGGCCTGCCAGGCTTTAGGGCTTTAGGGTTTTAGGGTTTTAGGGTTTAGGGTTTGGGGTTCAGGGTTTAGGGTTTGAGGATTCAGGGTTTAGGTTTTAGGGGTTTAGGGTTTCCGAAGTAGGACGTCTGGGGCTTCGGGTCCTAAACCCCTTGAAGTCTAAACGCCTTGCGCCCAAAACCGCATCGGCGCTGCTTCTCCTACTACTTGCTTAAGAACCCCCTATATTGCCTTGATAATCAAGGAATTGTTGTTCATCTTTGAGGGGGTTCTTAAGCAAATAGTAGCCCCAAACCCTAAACCCTAAACCCTAAACCCTAAACCCTAAACCCTAAACCCTAAACCCTAAACCCTAAACCCTAAACCCTAAACCCTAAACCCTAAACCTTAAGCAAATCGTAGTCTCAGCCGGCTCAAAGAGGACACTCCGAGGACGCGAGGTGCAAGATTTCGGAGCCTAAAGAATGTCCAACATGATTTAGGGTTTAGGGTTTAGGGGTTTAGGGTTTAGGGTTTAGGGTTTGGGGTTTGGGGTTTAGGGTTTAGGGTTTCGGGTTTCGGGTTTTGTGTAGTATACCCGTATATGTACCGGATACAGACAGTACCAAAAGTAACCACAATACTGATTCGAACCAACTAGAGTTCTAAGCCGTGGAGTCTAGACTCAAATGTCTCCTTCGACTTAGATAGGCCCCTAGATGGAGGGTTTTTGTTTATTCAGTATGTTCCCTTAGTATATCCGAGCTAACCCTTGTGACACCCCATCAACCCTAAACCCTGCTGCCCGTCGGGTGGCAACGCAAACTCCACCCCAAACCCCAAACCCCAAACCCCGAACCCCGAACCCCAAACCCCAAACCCCAAACCCCAAACCCCAAACCCTAAACCCTAAACCCTAAGCACGCAATGGCACACTAAACCCTAAACCCTAAGCACGCAATGGCGCACACAGCCTGGAGACGCTGTAGGGGCCTAGGGCTCGTTTTCTTGGCTGCCCTCACGGCCGCCTTCATGGCAGGCCACACCAGCGGTTTAGGGTTTAGGGTCTAGGGTTTAGGGTTCAGGGTTCAGGGATTAGGGTTTAGGGTCGAGGGAATAGGGTTCAGGGTTTAGGTAGAGTTTAGGGTTTAAGGTTTAGGGCATGTAGAGTCTGTGCTTAGGCTGCTTAGGTCTTCAAGATGTTCCCTATATAGCAGCTATAGGGCCCAAGTACGTACTGTACGGGAACATGGATCCTGGGGGACATGGTTTCGGGTCTGCGCGCTAAGGGCTTTGTGGTTTTTGGGGTTGTAGGGCTTAAGAGAGTTCATAAAGTCATCATGGGGGTTCATTGAGTGTATGATGTTTGGGGTGTAAAGGGTTTGCCGAACGGGGTCGCCCTAAACCCTAAACCCTAAACCCTAAACCCTAAACCCTAAACCCTAAACCCTAAACCCTAAAGTAAACCCTAAACCCTAAACCCTAAACCCTAAACCCTAAACCCTAAACCCTAAACCCTAAACCCTAAACCCTAACGCAGAGGCTTCCATGCACGCCCGGGAGCTGCCTTTGCGCTGCAACCAAGGCAGCTGGCGAAGGCCAAGGCGGCCGGCGAGACGTCTAGGAGTTTTAAGGGGTTTAGGGTTTAGGGTATAGGGTTTTCAAGGGATGAAGACTCGGACCCCTAAGGTTGTACCCCTAAAGGTTTCCCGTAATATACCTCTAATATGGCCCCTTACACTATCTCTGCACCTCACCAAACGAACGACGAGGCTCAACTGCTGCAGGGTCGACGGGCGCTGTTGGGGGTGCTGTTCGACGTGGACGGAACACTGGTGGACTCCACGCAGCTCGCCTTCTGCGCCACAAACGAGGTCCCGGACACTCCCAGCTATCCCTTAAATGAGCTATATGTACATATGAGGTATAAGCGACAGAACAAGACCCTGTCAACATGCATCCTTTCGGTCCTGTTAGGATCCCTACGAAACAGACGCAGGAGTAGTCCTTTCTTCTGAGAAAATGGCCCTAAACCCTAAACCCTAAACCCTAAACCCTAAACCGCGTCTCTGGACGAGGTGCTGGAGAAGTTCGGGTACCCCCAGGTCGATGTCGAGGACTCTTCGGGACTCAATGAACCCTAAGATTGGTATCATCTACCCTCTAGGGTTTAGGGTTTAGGGTTTAGGGTTTGGTCCGAAACTCCCTCTGAAGGGTACGATTTTGTGCACCACAGACCCTTTTTTGCTCGTCCTTCAGGACTACCATCGCGGGACCAAGTACACCACCCCCGTCCGGCTGGCCTGGCATGCTGGACTGGCGCAGAATCCCGAGGCGAGCCCTTCATCAGCCGAGTCGCTAGGGGCGGAGATGGGCCGGGTCTTCGACAGCACGTATCTGGATTCTTGTTCATACATGTATTATTCTGGGTTGCCATGATGGTGGCAAAAAGGGCCCAAGTATAGACCATCTGGGTTCTTGCCCCTGTGAGGGACAAGGTTACCATGATAAGGAAGCGTTACCATGGACTACGTTCTCTCAAGGGGCTATAGGAGGGACCCTTATGAGGGACCCTAGGGGTTATTTATGTAAATGTAAGGTATTGTATAGAGGTTATATACGGGAATAAGATTTCGGGTTCCTTTTAGGGGTCCCTGCTTATACCCCTTAAAGCTTTAATTCTCTGATCGTTTTCGTCAAGTTCGTTGACAGCGACCCTGGCTTGGTAGGGTTTAGGGTTTAGGGTTTAGGGTTTAGGGTTTAGGGTTTAGGGTTTAGGGTTTAGCCCAGTACCACCCCTTTCCCTTTTTTGCTGTTTATTTAGTGTTCAAGGTCGCTTTATCAAGTAACCAAACCCCCCCAGAATAGGGTGCCCTTAGTGAAAGATGGTTACAGGGCTACCCAGCAGGTATGTCGACCCAGCCCTAAACCCTAAACCCTAATCCCTAAACCCTACACAAGCCCTAAACCCTAAAACCCTAAAACCCTAAAGCCCTAAAACCCTGAAACCCTAAAACCCTAAAACCCTAAACCCTAAACCCTAAACCCTACACACCCAAGGTATGTGGCCCTGGTGACACCGAAGAGCGCCCCGCTCTTCGAGGGCCTAAAGGAGCTTCTCGCAGCGCTCGCAGCTCGGTGGGCCCTGGGGCCCTGGGGGATTTCGTATTTTTTCCCTTAGTTGGGTCTGAGCGGATCATATTTCTGACACCCTAAACCCTAAATCCCTAATCCCTAAACCCTAAACCCTAAACCCTAAACCCTAACCCCACACCCCAAACAATTAGAACCATTTTTTCAGAGCGCTTTCAAGGGCCCTCCGAGGCGGAGAGGCAGGTGACCTTGGGCGTCCTGTCGAATGCGGCGCTGGCATACGTGGAAGCTGTGCTATCTGTCAACAACCTGAAGAGGCCCGAGGCTATGGTGGCAGCCCCATTGGGGTTTAGGGTTTAGGGTTTAGGGGTTTAGGGTTTAGGGTTTAGGATTTAGGGGTTTAGGGTTTAGGGGTTTAGGGTGCTCATGTCTGCCAAATTTCAGCCATGCAGACTTAGGAGGGCTTATCTAGAGGCCGAGAGCCTAGCAACTGAAGAGGGCATGACCTACATCGATCTCCGACACCCCTGTGTTTTCCCAAAGGTTTTTCCCGGTGTGGCACGGCGCGGACTCAGTCGCGCTGCCGAAGCCAGCACCCGACGGCTTGCTTCAGTGCTGCACCGAGCTGGGCCAGCTTAAAGCATCGGAGTACGTTTATGTGTCCTGTCATGAGCCCATCCCCGGACTTTGATTTGGAGGTATTGGCCCAACAATCATCAAGTAAGCGTTGTATACATATATACATAAATAAATAAATCGATAAATATACAATATATATATATATATCTCTCTGTCTATCTATCTATCTATTTATCTATCTATCTGTCTTTTTTTTTCGGGTGGGGGGGGTGGGGGTTGGGGGGGGAGGGGTGAGGGGGCACCTCCTGGGCGAAGACCATTAGGCCTCGGACACCACACGAAATACGGCGCCCAGGTGATGGGGGAAACCCTGAACCCTAAACACCCACACCCTAAACCCTAAACCCTAAACCCTAAACCCTAAACCCTAAACCCTAAACCCCAAGGTCGGTGACGGGCCCAACGACGGAAGGGCGGCGCGAGCTGCCGGGATGGCCTCCATCGGTGTCTAGGACTGGGAATAGGCCCTTTGTTCCTTGGGTTTAGGGTTTAGGGTTTAGGGTTTAGGGTTTAGGGTTTAGGGTTTAGGATACCCTAAACCCTAAACCCTTTTTGTTCCTAGGCTGCTCCCGGGTCTAGGTGTGTCCTGGGGCTCCAACACCCGGGAGACGCTGGAACCCGACTTCGATGTCGCCAGACTTGGTTTAGGGTTTAGGGTTTAGGGTTTTAGGGTTTTAGGGTTTTAGGGTTTAGGGTTTAGGGTTTTGGGGTTCTAGGGTTTGTAGGTTTGTAGGTTTGTACGTTTGTAGGGTTTTGGGGTTTTCAGGTTTCGTTTCGGGCTTCGGGTAGCCCAGTGGTGCCCTTTTGGCTCTTGTTGGGTTGTAGGGTCCCTTATATCAGTAAGCGATTGTTACCCTCACTGCAGTATGCTTCTGGGCTACCCAGCTCAGAATATTCTTTAGAGAGTCTATCTTAGTCTGTTGTTGCTTCTTGTGGTACTAGATCACAGTATACTATAGGATTTTTGTATTTTGGCGTGTGTAATAATTCATAGATATGCCGGAGTGGCACGAAAAATCGAGCATATGTCCTAAATCTGTCGAATACCCAAAGATAGTCAAGCACATAGAGTTTGTTTTTGTAAGAGGCTGTGTCTTAGAGCATATGATGGAATAGTACAGTATGCTTTCGTGTATTCCAGTACATTCTAGGTTGTCATAGTACAACATTGTAACTTGTAGTATAGTGCTCTGTTGGTCTCCGTCATCGCTGGGATTGGGGTGGGGGGGCAACTCGGGATGCTACTTTCGTCAGGCGTTTACCTCTATACCATTAGTTGATCTGTTTACGGTTAGGGTTTGTACTCTTTTCACAAAGAAGCACCCAGACTAGGGTTTAGGGTTTAGGGTTCAAAAAAAGAAGGGTTAGGGCTGGCGAAACCATAGCCCCTAAAGCATAAATACCGTGCCGAAACTCTCCGAACACCCTCGCCCCTAAACCCATAAAGAATGACTCTCTCCTAAACCCCTAAACCCTAAACCCTAGGCAAAATGGAACTCTCACAACCCTTCGCGATGGCGCTGGCAGAGGTCGTCGTTGACACGGCCGAAGACTTGACGGAGGTCCTCCTTGCCTCTTTGCAAGATCGCGCCGCGTGAGATCCAGGTTCAACTCGGAGCTTCCTTGGGGCCTTTAAGGGGTGTTTCGGGTTTCGGGTCATAGGGTTTAGGGTTTAGGGTTTAGGGTTTAGGGTTTAGGCCTTACCCTGTAGCATCCACCTTAAACTGGGTGTTTCAGGTTCATGAGGTTTCGGGTTTAGGGCTTAGGGCTCAGCTCTCGTCATGACCGGCCAGTCACATGCTGAAAAAAAAAGCTCTGTGCCAAAGCCTCTGCAGCGTTGGGGGCCCCCCCAGCCCGACAAAGGTGTAGGTGACAGGGCATGGCCCGCCCAAAAAATAGTGGGTAGTATGGGAGCACCTAGAACCTAAACCCTAAAGCCCAAGCTCAGAAGGTACCTGCCGAGATGTCTGGAGTTTATATAGGGTTTGGGGGCATCGAAGCAGTTCGTGATTGAGGTTGTTGTTCAGATGAACCTATGGACCTTGTTGCTCAACTTGCTTAAACCGCAAAGAATGGTCAGTAACCCTAGATACCCTAAACCCTAAACTATTGGTCCTAAAAGCGTTTCGCAACTCAATCCCAACCGTGAACTTCAATGCTCTCAACTCAGACTGCGGCCGGGCGGGAGGCCTAACAAAAAGGCCCTAAGTCCTACCATCAGAAACCGCCAAGTCCAACGTTTTTGTAGGTTGCCTAGGACTCCGATTAGGGGGTTGTATAGCAACAACCTACAAAAAGGGTAGGCTTTGGGCTCTCGGCCTGCCTGAATATGAAAGCAGGACAACAAGAACCGTTCCACGGAGATATCAAACTGGATTCAAGTTCTTTGCGGCCGTCACCTCGAGAGGCGCCTTTGGCGTCGTTTAGGATTGGATGCCCGAGCTGACAGGGAGTGTTCCCTAAACTCGGGTTTAGGCTTGTGGGTCGAGGGTTTAGTAGGACTTAGCTGAGTTCCTTAGTCAAGAGGAAGTGGCGGCTTCAGAAGACAGCCTAGGGCAGCACGGTGCCTGCCGTGTTTGGAGAAGGGCTGTCTCTATTTGGCAGTCTTGGGGTGCTGCTGTCACTACCACCCGTGCTCTTCTAGCAGGTCGGGGGCACTCCGCCTTCGTTTCGGGCTTAGCGCTAACGGCTTTGGGCTTAGGGCTTCAAATCTTGTGAGCTTCAGGGCCTAAGGCTTTCGAGCTTCAAGGCATAGGATGAGGGATTTAGGTGGGCAGGCCTCAATAGCTCTTCAAGGGGCCCCTTTCCGGCGCTACTCTACCTCAAGCCTATTCACCCTCAAACTGGAGCCCTTAAGGTTGTCTAAGGCGAGACCTGCAACACAACAAGCTTGGGGTTTTAGGGTCCCTTCTAATAAGCAAGCGTGCCGGGCGGCAAAAATCCCCCGCTGCATGGGGGGGGGGGGGGGGGGGGGTGGTTAGGTTTTAGGGCTTAGGGCTGTTCCTAAATCACCCCTACTGGACTTAGGTCTTCGGTTCTTGGGGCAGAGGGTGGGGGAAGGTCTTTGAGACCCTCAAGCCTAGACACTTTGAATCTGAAGAAGCTCAGGAACAACGAAGTCATGCACCAGGCCTACACGCAGCGCGTGGTGCGGCGCCAGGCACAGCTCAGAACAGCTAGCAGGGCCCCTAAGCCCTACATCTTGTGTGTTCTTCGCTGGGTGTGTCCTTAAATTACAGGGTTCTTAGGGGGGGGGGGCTTCAAGGAGGTATGTAACCCAAGGTTCCCTACTACTCCCCACTCCCCCCCTCCCCAAGCTTCCCTAAGGTTCTCTAGGTACCCCCATGAGCCCCCCTCTCAACCCTCAACCCTAAACCCCAGCCCTAAACCCTAAACCCTAAACTCCGAAACCCCAAACCCCAGCCCTAAACCCTAAACCCGTTGCTCCCTTAAGAACCCTACAATTCAATCCGAAGAACGAGGCGTTGTACGAGCGCATTGCCTGGCTCCAGCTACAGCACCTCCGGGCGGTCGTGGACCCTATAGGGTTAGAGGGTGCAGGTTCCTCGCAACCTACCTCTAATCTTGAAACCCTAAACCCTAAACTCTAAACCCTAAACCCTAAACCCTAAACCCCAAACCCCAAACCCCAAACCCCAATCCCCAATCCCCAAACCCCTACCCGGCCTATACCGCACATCTTCCAGCTTAGACTTAACTCGGCGAGGATTATCAGTAGTATCCTTCTTCTTGAGGTTCCTTCATAAACTGATCGTTTCTTAATTCCCAGGTTGCTGCCAGGCCTGGTTTGCCCAAGACTTGGGTGGGGAAGTGGGGGTGGGCAGTTTGTTTGTTCACGTGAGGAATCCCCAACTCTTTTCACCAAGAGGTGCGACACCTTGTGCTTGCCAGCCTTGTCGCAGAGTGACTTAGTGACAGCGTAAAGGGTTCAGGAGTCAGAGAACCGTAAAGGCCTCACGCACAAAGCGCGTCTCCTATATATATATATATATACATATTCATATTCCGTATCCGTATGAAACGGTTTAAGGTTGAGGGTTGTCCCAGAAGAGCAGTTCCTAGCAGGGGGGGGGGGGGGGGGGGCGGCTTGTGAATCAAACCCTAATCCAATAGCCCTGAACTTCATACTACAGGCCCTCAGAATCCCTCAGGACATGGGTGGAAAATGCAGAGTCAGCTCCTCCTTGTCATGAGTTGTTTGAGAGTAATGAGACGCATCTTAACTCCAAGGAAACCCAACCCTCGCCCCCTAAGACCCGAAATCTCGGAGACCCCTAAATCCTGAAAGGTCTAGGGGTTTAGGGTTTAGGGTTTAGGGTTTAGGGTTTAGGGTTTAGGGTTTAGGGTTTAGGGTTTAGGCCTAGATCCTAAACCGCAAGCCGCAGGATAAGCTGTCGAAGCAATTGGAGGAGCGAACCGAGGAGTTGAAAATCGCGAAGATGAAGCAGGCGCACCCTTGGGGAAGGGCAAGGGTTGGGGGGGGGGGGGGGGGCGGGTTGGGGTTTAAGGTTGAGGGTTGGGTTTGGAGTTTTAGGGTGCGCAAAGGGCTTAGGATTGAGTCTAATTTTCGTTTGGCGGTTTGAATTGGAGAGGGGCCTGGGGCTTGCTGCGTTCAGCTTAAAAATGGTTGCCTACTTGCAACCCCTTTTGACTTAGTAAGTAGGGTTAGTAAGGTGGGTCATGGGGATGATAATCATGGGGGATGTAAAGTAAACTTACTGGGTCGAACGCGCTTCTAAGGAAGGCTTGTGGAATATTCTGGGATGCTCAGAGTCGACTCTGGGTCGTCTGTGTATGTGGGGCATGGAGGCTCCCAGAACTTTCAGCCAAGCTGCTGTTCTTTAAGGTGGCTAGGCCTTTGGGTTTAGAAACACCTCAACCCTAAACCCTAAACCCTTAACCCCAAACCCTAAACCCTAAACCCGTAAACCCTAAACGCATGCACAGCATGCCAGGATGTTCGTCTGTACCGGCGGCTAACAGCAGAGGCGCGGTCGTGCGGGCGACTCTCTTGCCATAGGGTTTATATGGGTTGGTGGTCTCTTTAAGCAGGGTTTCTGTTTCATAGGGCATATATTCGGGTTCTTATTAGGGTATCTAGGGGCTAGATAAAAGGTATAAGGGCAACAGATACAGAGGCCACCTGCCTTTATAACAAAGGGTCATTGGGGTTATTAAGGTTGTCAGGCTCATGCATATGCGTCTGGTCTTTAAGAATATGGTGCCCTTGACAAGTGTCCTTTGATAGCGGAGTGGTTACAATACGTGGGGCCTTCTATCCGCCCATGCCCCATACTCCGGAAATCAGGAACATACCCTCAGGGATCGAGTTACGAATCAAGGTGTATTAAACTTTGTGGGTAAAGGAGAAACACCCTAAGTCCTATACACCTTCCACCCTACACCCTACATCCTAAACCCCAAACCCAACCCTAGACCCTAAACCCTAGCCTTAAATACCCAACAGAGTTAGGAACGATACCCGGGACGAGAGGCTCGCTGCTTGCTCTGCGAACTGCGGCTCCGCACTCACGTGGCTGGGAGCGCGAAGTCGTGGGTTTAGGGTTTCGGGTTTCGGGTTTAGGGTTTAGGGTTTAGGGCGTTTTAGGGTTTAGGGTTTGTTAGGGTTTTAGGCGTTCGGTCTATCGGGTGTGGGGTTTTTAGCAAGGAGTGAGGGAATTTGATACCTTATGCCCCTTGTATATACCTTTAAGAGTTTAGACAGGGTACCTCATTCCCTCATTCCCTACTAACCCCAGAATTTTGGGAGGACCCCCCCTAAACCCTAAACCCTGAACCCTAAACCCTAAACCCTAAACCCTAAACCCTAAACCCCTTTTCTAATTCGGTCATGCTTAGGAACTCTTAAAGGGATCTACTTTTTGGATCCTCCCAGGGGTCTGGGTATAGGGTGTAGGGTTTTGCGGTTCATAGGGTAATTTAGGTGTAGAGCGCTTACCCTGGAACCGAGACCAGATGGTAAAAAATGGGTGTACGTGGGCTCGGTTAAATTACGCCTGAACCCTCAATGTATTTTGTGTGCTTCCTTTCGTTGTTGCTCGACTTGATAAGGCGAAATCATGCGCCGGAGAAGTAAAAACCAAACTGATGCAGGAACAAGCGGAGTGAGTGTTTTTGGAGGCTGGCCTTAACCGTTGCGCTCTTTGGGGTAACTGTTTATTAGTATATATATATATGTATATAGATCCATGTAAACCCTAAACCCTTACAGGTACCAATAGGGGCCAAAAACTTCAGCTGAAGGCAAAGCTCATTCTCAACCCTTTGGTTTAGGGCTTAGAGATTCGGAGAGGATCAGGGTAGCTAAGCTTGTGTTTCCAAATTACAAAGCCGAACCCCTAAACCAGGGTTGAACAATCACACTGCCAGTTCTTAGCAGGAAAACCAAGAATTCGGTACCTTATGCCAATATCCCCGACATAAAATCCCTTGAGTGACTGTACTCGGAGCTCAACTCCACTGTATCAAGAATGCATCCCCAGGCAAGGGCCTACTTGGAGGTTCGTGGTACTTATTCACCAATTCCAACTGTACTTCTAACCATATTAGGGCAGTT